ATTCTAATCCGGGTCACAGAATGGCTAAGGCAGCTTTAAGTGGAGGGTGGATTTTTTTTCCCTCGGTTTGTCTTGTGTTTCGCACCCTGAAAGAATGTTGTGCCTGCTCTTTTTTCTGGTGACTGCTATTCACGCTGAACTGTGTCAACCAGGTATGTGGTCTTGAAACTTGAAAATAGCGTAACAGTTTTCTAAATGATTGACAAGTCTTCGACTGGATGACCTCTTTATTTTCCTAAATCCTCAGACGTGTTGTGGCTTGAAAGTTGAGACTATGACTGTTTTATGAGTTTGAAGGAAAAATTGGAACGGGCTAAGGTGCTTGTAGTTAAAGTTTCAGTTTCCGGGCAGTTTAACTGAAGAGCCGTGTTCTGTTGATTTGAGTTGATTAAATGTTTGGACTTGATGTTCTGGCAGATTTTTATCATCACACACTGCTCCCTTTTCTTTCTGGCAGATGCAGAAAATGCTTTTAAAGTAAGACTGAGTATCAGAACAGCTCTGGGAGATAAAGCAGTAAGTGAAGAACCTGCATGTTCATTTTTTAATAACACTACTTTCTCTAGTAATGAGCCTCTGCCTCGTATCTTAAACTCATATAGTTTGATCCTAAAGACCTCAAATCGGATATGGTCTTAAAGTTAAAAAAGAGTAAAATGGAAATTGTTAAAAAATGATTTTGCCTCAAGTCTTTAATCTGCGGTGTGTGCTAGAAAATCTGTGAAGCTTTGTATGACACACAACAGTGTAGCAAACTGGAGCATCTCAGCCAAGCACAGTGCGGGGTGGGGGGTAGGGGGGGGGCGGAGGCCTGAGGGCCCGAGTCCCGCATTCAGGTCTGGGCCGGCTCTGCACACCATTGCGGTCATTAGGATTTTGTCAGCCTCAGTCTTCTAGTCCGCGAAAAGGTGGCATTGTTCCCACATCAGATTTTTCATAGCATGAAAAGTTTCTAGTTCTAACGTGAATTTCTTCCAGTTCTTCTCCAATGTCAGAGTAACAACGTGAAATACATGTTTATGAAACTGAAGTTAAAAAATACTCGTGAGGCTCACGTAGCTATAAGAACAATACGGTCTGTGGAATTAATGAGATGATTTGTGCAATTCTAGTTTGGGTATCCCCCTGTGGTCTGTGAAGACTTTCCCCTGTAGTAGGCGATAGTAAGATGCCTTGGGGTAGAAGCACTTGAAGAGTGCTAAGGAAGTTAGAGGTACGGATTCTGTTTGCAGGCCTATCCACCAACGGGTTATTTTATTCATTCAATGAGTAAGGATCATTACAGTGCCCAGCATTTATTGAGAACTTAGTTTACTTTCCAGCAGAGACCCTTCTGAGCACTTGACTTACATCAGTTCCTGCAGCCCCCGCAACAGCCCTTTGAGGAAGGTAGTACAGGCATGCCTGCCCTCATGGAGTAGAGGAGAAAACCAAGGTACAAAGAAATTAAGCAGCTTGCTCAGGAGCTCAGGTCAGCAAATGACAAAGAGGTGAGATTTGAACCAGTCTGTCTAACTGTAGAATCTACTCTCTTCACCAGTGTGTGGTTGTGTATCCCAGGGTCCTCCAAGGGTGGGCACCATGCTGGATGCCGGGGATGCAATGGCAGATAAATCAGGCTTGTCTCAGCTTTCGTGGAGCTCATGGTATCGGGAAGATTGGTTGCCCATGAAACATTTGGTAAACGAAATGGAAATGTGCGATCTTGACAAGTATTACAGGAAGGAGAAGTATCTGGGGACTTTGGCCTTGTCGGGAGCCTTAGTACTTGGCATTTGCTGTGAAGTCTAAAGTCTGAGCGGTGGTGAGCCGGAGGATAAAAGAACACAGGGCAGAGGGAACAGAACATGCAAAGGCTTGTTACAGGAAGGAACTTAGTGAGAGTATGAGATGGACGGAAGGCTGAGGTCTCTGCACTGGAGCAGGACGGTAGAGCCTGGCATGTGCTGAGTTCGGGCAGAAAACAGAGATCAGGCTGAAGAGTATGTGGACTGGGTTAGGAAGTTTTGAGATTATCTTTAAAGCCAACGTGAGTTTTCTGAAAGAGATGTTGTTATAGAATGCTTGGAAAACACTCTGGTCACAGTGTGGAAGGCAGATTGGAGGGGACAAGAGTAGAAAGGAGAAAGGGGGAGGGAGGAGTCAAGGGTGACGCTTTATTTATTTATTTTTAAAAAGATTTTATTTATTTATTTGACAGAGAGGGAGAGAGGGCGCGGCATAAGCAGGGCTAGAGGCAGAGGGAGATGGAGAAGCAGGCTCCCTGCAGAGCAAGGGAGACCTGATATGGGACTCGATCCCAGGACTCTACAATCATGACCTGAGCCCAAGGCCGTGGCATAACCACCTGAGCCACCCAGGCACTCAAGGATGATGCTTTAGTTTCTAATTATGCAGCTGAATGGATGATGACCTACTTATGAGCCAGGGAAGCAGGTACAGACAAGAAAATCATGGCTTTAATTTTGGACTTGTTGAGCGTGAGGTATTACTGAATAAGCAAGGACAGGGTGGGCTTGAGATATGGTGCTGGGTCGTTCACTTATGGTGATAATGGAAGCCTGGAGTAGATGACAGTGTGAGGGACAAAGTACAGAGTGACAAGAGGGGAAGCTCTAGCATAGAGTTTTGAGGTTCTCTGAAACCTGAAACCCTTATAGGAGAGTGTAAACCTACACAGGGGACAAAGGGACAGGAGGAAAACCAGAATGCGTATCACAAAGGGGAAGAGAGTGCTTCAGGTTGGAGGAAGTGTTCAAGAGCATCAGATGCTGTTGACAGGTCAAGCAAGGTGGGACTGAAAGCCACTCATGTTGAGTCATGTGGAGGTCACTGGTAACTGTAGAGAGAGCCATCTTTGTGGAGTGGTGGAACTGGAAAGCAGGTAATGGAGGGAGCTGAGAATAAGTGGGTGGCAAACAGGTAAAAACGCAAGTATGACAACTCTTTTGAGGCTGTTGGCTGTGAAGGGCAGGAGACAGCAGTAGATAGAGGAAGAAGGATTGAGGTCAGTGATTTGGTTTTGGTGCCATTTTAATGGGAAGGCTTGAGCGTGGCTAAAAGCCAGGGTCTCATGTACAGAGGAGAGGGGAAGCTGTACCCTTAGATCCTGAGAAGTGGGGAAGGGAAGTGTTCCTAATGCAAGTGGATGAAATAGCCATTGGCAGGAGGAGAAACACCACATTGGCCTTCCGGGGGAGCATGTGGACAGCATATATGTCTACAGAGGGAGTTTTGTTTGGTGTCAGGAGGTTGGGGGAGTTTAAGTTGATGACTTGAGGATGTATCTCTAAATTATGAGACAAGAGCATCTAGTGAGGGGCGCCTGGGTGGCTCAGGCAGTTAAGCCTCTACCTTTAGCTCCGGTCATGATCCTAGGGTCCTGGGATCGAGCCCCACATAGCATCAGGCTGCCTGCTTAGAGGGGAGCCTGCTTCTCCCTCTTCCTCTGCCTCTCCCCCTGCCTCTCCCCCTGCTCGTGCTCTCTCTCTCCCTCAAATAAATAAATCTTAAAAAAAAAAAAAAAGAAGCATCTAGTTGAGTATGAGGTTTGAGTTTGGTCAAGGTGGGGAGCTGAAAGAGGTTTGAAATAGCCATCGTGAGCCATGAGAGAGAGAAAATGATGGAGACCTGAGGGATTCCCAGGCAATTGGGGAGTAGGTCATCATGAACTTAGAGTTAAACAACCTTGTTATGTGACTTTGTCCAGTTCCACGTGATTCCTCACCTAAGATATGTGGTCAGCCACATTAGTTTCCAGGGCTGCTGTCATAAAGTACCATGACTTGGGGGGCTTAAACAATAGAAATGTATTTTACCTTAGTTCTGGTGGCTGGCAGTCCAAGCTCAGTATCAGCAGGGTTGGTTCCTTCTGAGGTGTGTAAAGGAAAGATCTATTCCAGGCCTGTCGCTTTGGCTTGTAGATGACTGTCTTCTCTCTGTATCTTCACATTGTCTTCCCTCTATATGTGACTGTGTCCAAGTTTCCTCTTCTTGGAAGGACACCAGTCCATATTGGATTAGGGTCTACCCTAATGACCTCATTTAAACTTAGTCACCTCTGTAAAGACACCGTTTCCAAATACTGTTACATTGTAAGGTATTAGGGGTTAGGACTTCAACATAAGTTGGTGGAGGGGGGCACAATTCAGTCCATAATATGCACACACTCAAGTTTCCAGCTAAGAAAATGGAAAGAAAAATTGTACCTATGTTAGTAAAGGAAAGGCAACTGAGGAAAGAGAGTAAGGGAGGAAGGGAACCAACTGTATATGTCCAGAATACAATGTCCAAATGCACTATTTGTTGACTGGCTACTAACACTGCAGATCTTGAAGAAGATAATGCAATGGAAAGTGCACCACACTTGGAATGACAGAATGTCCAAGAAAGTTCATCCTGAACATTATCATGACATGATTTATCTTGGCTTCTAGTGTTTAGTGTGTGAGAAAGATGGGAAAGAGAGATAGAGAGGGACAAGCACTGATTAACACCACCACTGTGGTCACAGTTAGATTCCAACAGGACCATTTTTTTATCCTAAGTCCTTTACATTTTCTGTTTTACTTCTCTTTTAGTATGCCTGGGATACAAATGAGGAATATCTTTTCAAAGCAATGGTGGCTTTCTCCATGAGGAAGGTTCCCAACAGAGAAACAACAGAGTAAGTAAATAGTAAAAAGTCTTAATTGGTTATTTGCAGTGATATTTGAGACATGCATTAATTCAAAATTCTATCTTGAAAATAATTAACCTAATTTTTGGAAAGGATTCACATTGTAACATTTAAAAATTTTGTAATCTGGTTCACCTTGCAGTCTATCCCATGTACCAACAGTGCTCTTTGTTCAGTAGGCAGTATGATGATAAAAATTTGTAGATGTGGTCATGTGTCATAAGCTTGTTCTACATTCCTGTTGTATACATTAGCTTCTCCTGTAGATAGGTAGAAAAAAAGAAGGGAGGGAGGGAGGAAGGAAGGAAGGAAGGAAGGGGCAAAGGGATGAAGGGAAAGGAAAAAGGAAGGAAAGGAAAGGAGAAAAGAATTCTGCTCTCATTGTATTAGTTTGCTAGGACTGCTGCGGTAACAAAATGCCACATGCCAGTTGGCTTAAGTAACAGACACCTATTACTCACAGTTCCGGAGGCTCCAAGGCCAAGATCGCAGTGCTCAGGCAAGGTAGATTTCTTTCTGAGGCTTTTTCTCTTGCCTTGCAGACACCACTAGAACTGTGCTCTAACATGACCTCTTCTTTGTTGGGAGAGCATGGAGGGAAGAGAGAGTGAGCTCTCCAGTGTCTCTTCGAATGAGGACACTAATCCCATGAGGACTCCACCCTTATGATGACATTTAACTGTAATTATCTCTTCGTCGGCCCTCTCTCCACGTACAGTTCCGCGAGCGCGGGGTGGGGTGGGGTTAGGGCTTCAACATAGGAATTTGGGGGAGGGGGACAAGTCAGTCCACAGCACTCATCTTGGAAATACACCTGTATTGGTTCATCCCACTCTTGGCATCTATCATAGTACCTTGGTTATTTTCTTAGAAGCTTTAGTACAAACTTTTCACAGTTTCACATTTTTTTTCTGTTCTTCCAGAGGCATGGTCTCTATTTGGCATGTTTCCTTCTATCTCTGTTTGTGATTCTGGTACCACTTCAGGTTTCTGTCTATTCCCTCTCTCCTTCTTCCCCTTGAGAGGAGAAATGGCTGATGATTGGTGAGCTGGAAGGAGAAGCTCTCCCTGGGTTCCCTTCTGTGCCTGCAGACAGCAGGCATTATTCTGTGCTACTCCCTACACTAAGTGCAGAATCAGTCCGTGCAGGGGTAGGCACATGCAGCTGTAAGGCTGGGTGTGCTACATACAGAGGAGGACGGTTTCTGTTGGTTGGCGCCATAGCATATAGCTAGCTGTTCGATATCATGCATATTACTCCGGCATGTGCAATAGATGCCCCAGCTCAGTTCTACCTGGACGCTGTCGATGAATTACCTCCTTTCAGGAGTTTTGTGATTAGGAAGAAAACTCACCTGCCGACTAATGTTATGTCTTCCACCCTGGCCTTTTTAGTATCCTATCTGCTTCATTCTTTTTTTTTTTTTAAGATTTTATTTATTTATTTGACAGAGAGAGAGAGATCACAAGTAGGCAGAGGCAGGCAGAGAGAGAGGAGGAAGCAGGCTCCCCGTGGAGCAGAGAGCCTGATGTGGGGCTCCATCCCAGGACCCTGAGATCATGACCCGAGCCAAAGGCAGAGGCTTTAACCCACTGAGCCACCAAGGCGCCCCTGCTTCATTCTTTTGTCTTAATTCTGTAAGGATTCGGAACCTGACAAAGAAGATCACTATTTATCGACCTCCCTTAAACCCACAATATGTGTGGGCTGTGACTATAAAGAATGAAACAGGGTTGCCTGGGTGGCTCAGTGGTTTAAGCCTCTGCCTTCAGCTCAGGTCATGATCTCAGGGTCCTGGGATCGAGCCCCACATCAGGCTCTCTGCTCAGCGGGGAGCCTGCTTCCCCCTCTCTCTCTGCCTGCCTCTCTGCCTGCTTGTGATCTGTCAAATAAATAAATAAAATCTTAAAAAAAAAGAATGAAACAAAAGAGTGGCATTTGGGGAAGCAAAATAAGCATATGATAGATATGTGTACACACATATATATTTAAAAATAGGTAATATATTCACATGATTCAAAAAATTAAAAGAAGGAGTTACATAGTAAAACGAAATTGTGTCCAAAGTGAATTCTGTTCCTGTTTTATAGAGTTTTAGAAAAAAATCTGTTTGTGCTTGTCATATGCCTTTTAAACTGCTCATTCTTTTTACAACTACATTACAACTTTTCTCATAAAAATTAGGTGATTCGGGGCACCTGGGCAGCTCAGTCCTTAAGCATCTGCCTTCGGCTCAGATCAGGATCCCGGAGTCCTGGGATCCAGGCCCGCATCAGGCTCTCTGCTCAGCAGGAAGCCTGCTTCTCCCTCTCCCACTTCCTCTGCTTCTGTTACCTCTCTTGTTGTGTCTCTGTCAAATAAAGAAATAAAATCTTAAAAAAAAATTAGGTGATTGCTTTGCAAAAAATCGAAAAGGTTAAATTTAAGAAAAGAAAAAGCCCTCTTGTCATCCTAAAATGCAGCCCCACCCCCAGATAGTCTCTTTATCTTCTACTCTTCTCATCCCCAGGTTTACACATTGCTCTGTTGGTCTTCTGTTTCTTCCTCTGGGTGCCTGCATTGAACCTTGTTAATGACTATGTTAAATCAGATGTTTCCATTCTTAGGAAGAGTTAATTTAAACATGTAACATTTTAGATGAATTTTGAGGAATTCACGTTTGCATTTTTTTTTTAACTTGGAACATTGTGTATGTTTGTGAGTATCTGATGTTGTTTACTCTGCAGACGTGTTTCATTTGTACATGGTATGGAGAAGGCATCATTGCCAATGCCCATGGAAAGTCAAAAATGCAAAACTCCATCAAGGGTCAACAGACGTTTCTGTAAGGCCACAGGCAGGATGAGTGCTAGCAATACTGCTGTCCGCGGGCGGAGTGATGAGGGCTGCCTCATGAATCAGGCTGTGTTTAAAATGCAATTCACTTGCTA